GCTGCCGCAGGCAGGACCCCGCACGCCGGGGCCGCCAGCCCTTCCTCCCAGCCCCGGCCGAGTCTCACCTTGTTAACACGGGGGACTTCCAAGGTTCGCCTTGGTTTGGAAGTGGGAGGTTCAAAGTCAGGAAGAGCTATGTTCCCCTCACTGAAAATATTGCCCAGGAGTCAAAAGAGCCAGAGCGAAGAGGGGAGAGACAGGTCCAGAAGGAAGGAGGGGGAGAAGCGCCCCTTCCCTCCGCACACGCCGACCCGCTCCCTCCGGCCCGACTCCCACTCGCAGGTGAGCCCCGAAGTTACAGCTCCCGGGAGCGGCATGGGTCCGGAGCAACACATCCAACACATCCTTCCTCCAGAACCAAAAACAGAGTATAAAAGAAATCCACCCCATATCGCCCGCCCTTTTCCTCCACGTACCCACGCACTTTACCTGTTTTTATGCCGGGTTTTTAATAAATTCCTTCCAAAGGGAGCCATGATCCAAGCGGCAGAAGCATAACATCAGCGATCCCCAAATAATTCGAGGGTGTTCCCTTCTCCCCTATTTTTTCCCTGAGCGCCTTCCAGCTTGTTAATAGTCACTGAGCGTAGCGATGAGCTGGAAGTTGTGCAATTTACTGCTAACTTTGAACTCCGGGTTGTTGCTGCTGCTGCACCTTTGGAGTCCTGCCCAGCTGCAAACTTGAAGGAGGCGTTTAGGAGCAGGAAAAAGAAAGCGGGGGGGGAGGAGGGGGGAGGGAAACACGCACTTGCTCTTGTGATGTGAAGTTATGCACAGAACTTGCTAAACTTTCAGCCTCGTCACCCTCAGGGCACCAGCCAGCAAATGGGAAAGATGGGGTTTTGCTCCGGTGGGGAACTGTGTAAAAACACACAACAAAAGGACTGAAAACTTTCCCCGGGAGGCTCCAGCCACTTCAGGTCAAGTCGTTCAACTAAACACCAGCGTTAATGAAGGGCAAGCAACAGTTGCCACGCCAGTTCTCAGTACATAATAACCTGCCTTTTCAGTACCTCTTTACGAGGTGTTGGACAAGTAATAGGAAGATGAAGGGAAAAAGCCAGACCGCTGTGGCCCCTCTGCCTTCCCTGGATTTTTAAGTAAACGAGCTATTTGCATGAATGCCTTCGCAGACTAAAAGCACCTCCGAAAACCTCTTAAGCGTGGCCTAGCAGAGAACAAGTGAGGCAGCAACACGAAAGGCTCAGTTCGTACTGCGATGTCGCAGGACCTTTTTTGTTATTATTTTAAGATGGCTTCGCCAGAAGGGAAATGAATGCACACTCCAGTTCCTGTTCGCTGGAACCCCTGGGAACGAGAGATTTGGAGTAAAGCTTCAGAAGGGAAAAGTTTTTAAAGCTTCAGAAGGAAAAAAAACTTTTTTTTTTTTCCCCCCTCCACCCTCCTCCAATTTGGAGCGGGGCAAGGGAAAGTGGACCCATCACACCCCAAAAGCTGATGCTGGTAGGTGAAGGTCCGGGTCCGGCGAGCAGGTGGGAAGTCCCCAACACAAGCCCGAGCCCACCCTAGCCCTCTACTTTCTGCAGTTAATTTAACAGGTACATATTAGATGTCAATCACTCCTTTTTTCTTTTTTTTTTTTTTCTTGTTTCTCACATATTACAGGGCAAATTCTTTATGTGGCTGCCCAAAGGTGCAGCACAGTAGGGAATTGTTTTATTAACCAGGGGGAATGATTAAATAGGAGCCTCCCAGAGTAAGGGCTTATCTGAAAAAAGGCTTTTTCTTTTTCTAAAATTCCCCTTTTCTCCCTTAGTCAAGACAGTCATAGCAGCCTGAAGAAAACAAAGCAAAGGCCCATTCCATGGGTTACCTATTACTGGCAGCTCTGGGAATACCCCACATATTTTCAGTTCAGTCCCACACCACTAAATTCTCTGAGCTGTAACTACAAAGAGAGGGACCGGAGCCTCTTAAAAGCCTCGTTTGGGTAATCATCCAAATAACACAAAAATAGGGAAGCTGAAATGAAACAACTTTCAGATTTCTTATCCTGCTGCCAGGGTAGATTTTAAGTAGTCTGATTTTGGCATTATGAACATAAGCCCAAACACATCAAGACCATAGAAGTCTTTCCTTTGGCTTTAAATCAGGTTATATATGCCACTAAGAAGGGATTTTCTTATATCTAAAGGACTGGGAAAATTTTTCGGTCCCTAAGAGATGTTCAAGGTGTATTTGGCATAAAAATCAAGTCAGTGTAGAATTTCCTAGAGAATAATTAATATTCAAACAACTATTTTTATTGGCAGAGGTAAAATGAAATAGCTTTATCTACAAAATAATATTCACTTTTCATTATGAAAATAAATGGGACTCGACAATACCTGTAGCTGTTTTTATTCTGAACAGTCATCTCACAATTTTAATTTATTCATATATTAAAATACCATGTAAATTGTTCCTCTTTTACTAGCAAATGCAAAATAATTTTCAACCAAAGATATGTAATGCGGGAACTGGGTCCCTCTACTCAAGTAAATCAAAATGCTTGTTACATTCATGTAGCCATGCAAAGAATTGTAGGAAAGACTCCAGCATAACAAGCAGACATTTTCCCCACAGCTGAGGGAGAAGGCTTTCAGTCTATGCACTTTCACAATTAGGCTAACCAAAACCAAGAAGAAAGTAAGTGGATGTATGATAAGGACTTACAAAGTAATAAAGGAGAGAATCCTAAGAACGAGGAACATTGCTCTTAACTAAAAACAAGACCAAAGGACATTTAGGATACCATAAAGAAGTTAATACATGCTGTTTCACTTGATATTCAATTTTTCTGTAGAACCCAAACAAAAGTATCATAGGGAGCAAAAAGACTTACTGAGTTTATACAAATACATACACAAAAACATAAAAAATACATAGATATTTCTCTTAGTAACAGAAGGGACATGAATTTCCATTCCTCAGCACATAAACCAGTCTCTGAATAGAGTAGAAACAGTAGCAAAACATTTCAGAGGGACAGGTTAATTTTGTAGGCAGTGTTGACACAACAGTTCAGTTAGCTTGCCCTTAAACTTCCAAAGTGCCTCAAACTATCCGTATCTGTATGTACACGTCCTTAGTTTTCTTTAAACTCTAGCTCTGATCTTCCAGGAATATTGGGCCAACATTCCAGACCAGGGCCCTGGTGCTTCCCAGCATGCCACGTGGACATAAAAAGCAACCACTGCTCAAGTCTTGAGCATGATCGCCTTCTAATCATGCTTTCTTCATGCAAAAATCTAAAAGGTAAATAGCTGGTAACATCCCATTTTTCACCCGTGAGCTGTTAAGCTCAGCCAAATTGTTCTCCGACACAGTATCTTCCCCCTAGGAGAAGTAATGAATGAATGGCTGATAGTTCAGTTTGCAGGACTCGTTTCTTGAAATCACTCCATATAATACGTATGTACTGAACTTCAGAACATCAGAACGATGTGTCAACAATTCACTCTGGTATTTAAAGGAGAAGGAAAAGGAATTATAAACACTAGAGTATCACCTGCCACCTGGGTAAGCTTACTGAACAATAAATCTGGATGCAAAGCTTGGGTGCCCGATCAGAAAGCTTAAGGTTAATAAATTGAAATGTTTCATTTGCCATCTTCCAAAGCAGCTCACACTGAGCGTTGTATACATCTCTTTGGCAAAAATACTGCAGCACAGCAATGCTTTAAAACCCAGCTTTAACCATATCAGTCTACGGGTATAGTTTCAAATGAACTTCTTGCATGCAACAAGGAGCAGGTGCGCTACTGCTCTCTCCCTCCCTTTCTTACCTCTCTTACCCACCACTTGGTTCCAGTGCCTATCTTACACAGTCCCTGGGATCTCATCTGATCTCCTGGTAAGCTGACGTAACTCATTCAAATTCCAAACCAGCAACAAAAGTTCGTTCCTTCTGTTTTGGGCTGATTGGTGAGGTGAGTTGGCTAACCTCAGGATCAGACAAGATCAGTCAGACAGTGTGATTTCCAGTGCTGATGCAAGGGAGGAGTTGAACTATAAGCAGGACTAAGAAAATGAAGAGAGGAAGCAAAGTGAAAGGAGGACTTGGAAATCGGGGGAGGGAGCGAGACCTTCTCCTTTGGCTGTGTGGTTGGGCAGCTTGGCAGCTCAATGAAACCTATTCTAATGACTTCATCTAATCTAATGGTTTGCTGTCCTTAAAAGTGGGGAGGTCTCATTCCTCTCCCACCGACCACATACTCCCAACCCTCTCCTTGTGGCAGGTCTGGTTGTCAACAGGCTTTGTGCTCACACCATTCAACTTTTCAAATGGATGGAAACCTGACTTGACACAGGAAAGTGAATAAACAGCTTTTTGTTGGGCTAACTAGTTAAATTGGCTTATTGAGGTGTCAGACAACTGGCAGGACTGGCATGTGAGGAGAGAAACAGGACCATGTGGCCAAGAGTGTGGGCAGAGAGATGTGGGAGGAAGACGTCCCGCCAGAGCAGCCCTGAGCAGCAGCACTGGCTCAGCCACGTTGTCTAACTTCATTCTGGCTGCAGCAGTGAGCAGCTCAGTGGAGGCAGCAAAAGCTACCTTAGGAACAGGATAAATTGCCCATTCCTTGCTCTAGGTTACTGTGCATAGGCTGCCTCTGACACCTTGGCTCCCTCATTTTAAACCATCATAAATATTTAGATCTGCTTTAAGTGCAGCCAGATATATGAATACAAGACACTAGACTAAATGGTCCAATAGAGTAAGAGGGAAAGGTCAGTGCTGGGATTATAGCTAACTGGTTAAAAGGCAGGAAACTGGGTGATCCATCTTCAGAGAGGCTGTGGATTTGTGCTGCTCAACTTACTTACTTGAGAAGATTTGCAAAAGGGACTCAGAAGGTTGGTGGCTGATGATAAACTGGCAGGTGAAGGTCATGTTGATGAGTGCAGAGTAATATACTGAGAAGAAAATCTAAACAAACCTTTAAATTAACTGTCACATCTCAGAAACATAATTTATTTGGGGCAGTTTGCTGAAAGTCTTAGGTCAATGTTCTATACTGGTAAAACCAAAACCAAACAAACAAAAAAAAGAGAGTTAACAATTAATGAGAAAGGAATACAGAATGAAGTGGAAAAGCTCATTATGCCACTGTAAACATTCATTCTGAGCCTACAGTTTGAATACCCCAGGTACCCCGTCTGAAAAAGGGGGGGGGGCACACAGCAAATGGCAGCAAGGGAGTTTTAATATACCAAGTAGCTTAATATATGAGGAGAAATTAAGTAGAGAGATAAGACTCTTGAATCTGAAGAAAGGTGAATATCTGATTATTATAAGAGGTCTATAATAATCTATATCATGGAGAAAATAAATAGGAAACAGTTATTTCTCACAGTGTAAGTACAAAGGCCTGCTGAAAGAAATAATCAGACAGCAAAGTTAAAATAAACACACACAAAAAATTGTAAGTAAATGACAGAAGTGCCCTCTGACTGCAAGTGTCAGAGAGAACAAAAGTATGAATAAGTCAAAAAAGAGATTAAGCAAAACCATGGACCATATGGCCAATAGAGGTCACAAAAATCACTAGCTTCTTGGGTCTTTATCGCCTCGGTCCAGCTGTTTCCCAAACCTCTTTTTCTTTTCCCTTCCATCCCCTACAGCTCACTAGCTACCGGCATAGCCCTAAGTATAGTAAAC